CGGAGCCGCGATGGTGACCTGGGGCTCGCTGGCCTGCAGGTTGGAAGATATGTGGCCCAGGACGGCGTCGACGGTTTCTATCAAGCCCAGCACCACGGCGCTGTCCTGAAAACACCACAAGAGGAAGGAGACGTGAAGAGGGAGCTCATGCAGTGATGGCGGGAGAAGGAGGCACCAAACGCACAGTCAGGCACGGTGCTCGCCGTCAACATTCCTCCAAAGGAGCACCGCCAGCACCTGCTGAGCCGCCTCACGGGCCAGGCTCTGTCCTCACGCTCCCGGGAGAGGAGAGGGTCACACCCCTACCCTACTTGACAGGCGCGGAGGCGACCACGGAGGTCACCCAGCCCATCGGCTCCAAGGCATCCATGCTCAGACGCGAGTGACTGGGACCTGGTCCTGGCTCCAGCCTCAACTCTCTGGGGACCCTGGCAGGTCTCTGACCTGCCCCTCCAGCTGCATCCCCTTCTGTCTCACGAGGAGGAGGGTAATCAGCCCCAAATACCCTCCAAAGTGAGGATGCTAGCAGTTTTTTCCTGATCTCCATGAAGGGGCAGGTGCTTCGGAGACGCCAGCACCCCAAGTCATCCCTGGCCTCCCCCATGTGCTAGCTAGCATGCCCTTCCCCCGTGGGAGTCCCCACACTCACTCTGAGGCCCCACAGCAAAAGAGATCCCAGTGGGTGCCACCCCAAGAAGGCAGGGGTCCCTCCTGGCCACCCCATTTCTCTGCAGTGAGCTCAGACTGAGCTGTCACTCATCGTCAGACACAGGTTGAGCAGGGAGGGGCCTCTCAGGTTCCCGCAGGAGCGCAGCGTGTGAATCTCTGCCTCACTGCCTCCCCTCCTTCCCGCCTTTCTGAAACAAACATCTGTCTGTTGCTAAGCGTCCTCGGGGTTCTCACAAACACATGCTCCACGAGAGTCCAATGAGCTGGAAATAGAACACTTAGGCCAACGTGAGACCTTTTCCTTCAGGCCTGTGTCTGATTTCAATCAGCCAAGCACAGTTAAGCACAGGAAAATCTGTTTCTGGCAGGCAGTTCTGTTGGGTGGTGGCTGATTCATATCTCCTCTTTAATGTACAGTAGAGCCTGCCTAGGTCTGAATAGTTTCATGGTTATTCATGTTTTGAGCAGAGCCTTCAGGAAGAGTTAACTGAAAACAATGCAGAAAAAACATCTGCTCTGGTCCTCCACAGGTCAGCCTCCGGGTGGTTCCCAGCAGCAGCCCTGCACACAGCACCCCCACCCCCTCAAGAAATCATGAACTCTGGAGGGCTGTGCCTTTTTTTTTTTAATGTGTTTCTAGGTAAGATCACATCAGCCTTAAATTTAAGACCATTTTTTTTCTCCCTCTGCCAAGGTGAAGTCCAATCTCATTCAAATAAAAAGTTCACAAAATGTAAACCCTGGAGCAATCTCATTACTTACGAGAGAATGAGATGTCATTCTGCCTCACACTGGCAAATATGCATTGAACACTATAGGAGTTCAGAAAAGGGAGCAGTGTAATGTCACACTGGTATGTGTGCGGCCAGTCTAGGCAAGGCAGTTAAGAGTCTTGTCTTTCTCCACCACCTCCACGGTGGGGTAACCTTGGAAGTTATGTGCTGAGACAGAGACATTAGAAAATGGACCAAGCCAGGATCCTCAGGTCACTGGGTGGAGAAGAGGCTCCTCTGACCCATATCAGACTTGGCAGGAGTAAGAAGTAAATGTCCACTGTGTTGAGCCACTGAGATGTAGGAGCTATTTGTTACTGCAGCACAGCCTAGCCTAGCCTGACTGATACAGCATCATGGAAGAATATGTAATATCATTGGGAAGTGCTCTTGACATACTGAAGGAAAATGGGTAAACTCAGGTCCATAGCATATGTGCAGACTATATATGCATACAAGAGAACTGAAAACTAGACTCTAAGGAATATGCACAAGAGTGTTAACATTATCTCTAAGCCTGAGGATTTCAGGTGACTTTTATTTTATATACTTTTTATCATCTGCATTTTCTAACTTCTCCACAACATATTCACTTGTTTTATTTCTTAAATAAGTAAAATCAATAAAGTTATTTTAAAAAAGAAAACAAAAAGTATTCTAACTTCCTTTCTAATTCTTTTGATTACAGAGAAAAAGAGACGCTGTTTTGATTTTTACACTTAAAATCATGAAGTGAAATGTCCATTGACAGATGACTGGATAAAGAAGATGTGGTGTATATATACAATGGAATACTACTCAGCCATAAAAAGAATAAAATAATGCCATTTGCAGCAACATGGATGGACCTGGAGATCATTATTCTAAGTAAAGTAAGTCAGAAAGAGAAAGAAAAATATCATATGATATCACTTATATATGGAATCTTAAAAAAACGAACTTATTTCCAAAACAGAACCAGATTCACAGACACAGAAGACAAATTTATGGTTAAGGGGAAGAGGTGGAGGGATAAATTGGGAGTTTGGGATTTGCAGATACTAACTACTATACATAAAATAGATGAACAACAAGATCCCACTGTATAGCACAGAAAATAGCCTGTTAATAGCCTATAATGAAGAAAAATATGAAAAGGAATATATATATATAAATATATATAAATAATATGTGACTGAAGCATTATGCTGTACACCAGAAATTAACACAACACTGTAAACCAACTATACTTCAATTTAAAAAGAAAATCATGAAGTGTATTGTTACATGTTCTACTTTTTTCATTTAATCTAGTGATCTTTAAACATTATACATGTGTTTTATTATCATTAAGGAACAATGTGATGGTGAAAATATATGTATTATTAAAATGATAAACAAGCCCACATTCTTCATGAAGAAATCCATTTCCCTGCGCACGACTGACAACGGCACCATGTCCCCGATGCTCACAGAACTCTGGTCCACAGAGAAGACAGAGCATGGCAAGTAGGTCATCTATCCAGTCGAAATGAGCTTTTATACCCCGGATCTCAGGACTAAGGGCTGTTTCCCTCACAGATGAGGATGGGGCCAGGTTAACGCCCCTTCAAGGAAGACAAAATGGCTCCCAAGGTATGTACGTTTTGAAGTTCAAAATGGTCTTTCCTCTTACCTCTGACACGGCAGTCCAACTGGGCAAACGAAGAACCTCTCCCACGGTTTTCAAGAAAGTCTAAAAGCAGACAAGACGACACTGCTGAGTGCGTGTCCTTAAGTCTCAGAGGCGTAAGACCTTCGATTTTCCCATCTCTGCCAGCCACAGGCTGCGTTTTGAATATGTGAAGTAGTAAATGAAAATAGCTCACATGAATGGATTGGGTTATGTTTTACAAAGCCCTTTTATACGTGTTTTCTCATTTTTTTCCCTGTGACAACCCTTTGGGCAACGAGAAGCATTCAGATGTCAGAATGAACACCATTTAGTTACAGCAGAAGCCCTAAGCGCAGTGCCAGGCCCTCAGTAAACGCCTGTTGAATGAATGAATGAATGAATGAATGAACGAACGGCTGAATGAATAAACAAACAAATCATGCTCAATATGCTTTCCCTGGCATTAAACAAAACAAAACACTTGTTCATTGGAAATTACCTCTCCATAAAGCAGAAGTTACTTGGGGGCACTTGGTCAAAATCACCTTAAAACCATGTCTGGTTTGGCTCACTACTGTTCTGAAAAAGGAAGTTAGCTTCTAACATCTTCAAACTGGGAGATTTAACTGAAAATATATGTGTTTCCTGGTTCTTTTGAAAAAAAAAAAGCAGAAGCTAGAACAATCCCTACCCCACTATCCCACATGGCTGCCACTGACCAGAACTGAACAGCAGCTGCTCCCTTGGGCAGATGTGCATTCCCCGGGTCACCCCAGTCCTCACCCCGCCCTATGGCTACACCTAGTCTGTCTCCCTCATTTCATTACTCACGTGGGTTTTTAACTGTGTCTCCTACTATCAGAATTACACTTAGAGCCTGATCTAAGTCTCTTGTATTTCCAACAAACTGCCCTCTCAGGAAAAAATCCCGTTTTTCCTCACACATTTAGACACTAAATATGTAGAGAATACATCACCAAAACCCCTCACTCTTTCATTTATATTTATTTTATAGATATTAAGACCCTAAGTGCAATGCTGAAGAATTTAGAATGAAAAAAACCAACCGTGATCTCTGTCCTCACTGGGCAGAGTTTATAATGTAGACCAAGGACCAGCACTTTTTTGTTTTTAAAGGGTACCTAGTAGAAAATTCAGGCTTTATGTGCTATACCCTCACTCTGTCACAAACCCTCAGTCCTGCCACTGTCGGGCAAAATTAGCCATAGACAACACACAAGTAAATGAGTGTGGTACGGCAAAATTTTATTTCCAAGAACAGGCAATGGGCTAGATTTGGCCCCAGGGCTATAGTTTACTGACTCCTGATCTAGAGTGGTTCAGCTGAATCGAAATTCAACGGGAGCCACATTTTTACTTTAAATTTTCTAGTAGCTGTATTTTAAAAAGTAAAAAGAAAACTGGTGAAATTAATTTTAATAACATATTCTACTTGGTCCAATAAACCTAAAATATCACTGCAACAGGTAATCACTGTAAAAATGATCAATTTGGCATTTCACATTCTTCTGTTAAACTAAATTTTAGAAATTCCATGTGTATTTTACACTTACAGCACATCCTAATTTGAACTGGCCACAGTTCAGGTGTCCAGGAGCCACTTGTGGCTAATGACCACTTTATTACCCAGCACAGGAAATGAATTCTTGTCATTTTCCTGTTCAACTATCAGTGGTGAGAAGCCAGGACTTCATGGAAAATTGGATAATGGATGCCAAAGATTTTTATTTCTCAGCAAATCAGAGATTGGTGGAGTTCTGGGTACATCGGCATGATTCCTCTCCGGGACACTGAGAGTTGGGTATCTCCACACGGATCCACACCAGAGGTCTCAAACTGATGGCCCACAGGCCAAATCTGCCTCATGACTGTCTTTGATTTGGTTTGTCCATAATTGCTTTTAAATTTCAGTCAGCTGTCTATTTTTTAAAATTGGATGATTTTCTAAAAAAAAAAAAAATCCAGGTATGGAGCTTTGCTTGCAAAACCAGAAGCGGTCATGGTAAAGATTAAAATCAGGTGACTCGGAGCAGCTAGCTGCTCCTCCCTGTGGGTGGGTGCCTTCCAGTTTGCCACAGTCTCCACTCCTCCCTATTGTCCATCTGACCCCGGCATCCATTTACCTTATTTGGCCCCTGCACGCACCTGAGCTTACGACCTCTGACTGTCCCGTCTGGGCGAGGGGAGAAGGGAGTCAAAGCAAAGAGGGAATCACCAAGCTCAGGAAGCGTTTCCCAAGGAGACCTGCACTGGATTCTCTGTTCCCGCACAGACACCCCGTCAAGGCTGCGGAGAGGCCCGAGCCCTCCCGGCAGCCTCCTCCCTCTGGGCAGCCTCACACCCAGACCGCTGGGCTCACGTGGGGAGCCCGGAAGTGCTCGGGCCGCCTCGGCCCCGCCCACATCTCCTGTGATTGGCTGAGGCAGCACGCCGGGACCCTCCCCTCGGCCAGTGATTGGTCTAGGCACGGTCATGTGAGGGGATATTGGCAGAGGGACTCATGGGAAAGACAGTCCCTCCCCATAAAGGCAGCGGCGCCCCGCCCCTCCTTTCTCGCAGGGTCGCCGTCAGTGAGGCGTCGTGTGTGCAGCTGCCCCCGCGCCGCCCGGGAAACAGCAGGTGCCGAGGGAGCCGGAGGGCTGCCTCCCGGACCCCTGCCGTGACTGAACGCCGAAGAAACCGATTTGCCTGGAGGCAAGCGATTAAATGCTCTGATTTTTATTTTTTGAAAAGTATTTAGTCATATTGGTGATCTGCGGTCACAACCGTTATAACAGAGAGAGCCCTGGGTGAGTGAGTCTGGAAGCGGAGGCGTGCTAGGACACAGAGCTGGGTTTGCTAGAGCCCTGAACCCCCCGGTTCCTGCAGCTCCGCACCTCGCCTTCCAGCGCTTTTCAGAGCCCGTGGTCCACCCTTGCCCTTCAGCCCTGAGCCTCTTGGAGGCAGGAAGTGGCTCTCGGCCATCCTGCAGCCCCAGACCTAGCATGTGCTATGAATGGATGAAAGCAATCTGAGAAGTCCCTTGCCTCCCTCACCTGGGCAGGAAAGCTGTTGGGGCCCGCCCTGCATTTCAGGGTGTCTCTGTTTACTGAACACGTGCTTTCACCTGCTGCTTTGGGTGCTTCTCTGGGTCTGTTTTCAGCAACCAGTACAAATTCAGAACCCTTAAAAAGTACTCATCAGGCTTTGCAGAGGAACCCATTTAGTCCCCGATGGGGTGAATACTACTGTATCTCCCCCACTTCTCAGATGAGCAAAGTGAGGCAAAGAGGTGTTAAGTAACATGACCAAGGGTGCACAGGAAGTAACCAGCAGAGGGATATTCAGCCCGGCAGTCAGACCCTGCACATCCTGCTCTTCACCCTTATACTGTACTTTTGAAGTGAAACTACTCAAACATCCCCTTCTGTCTCCACATCAGCCAAGAGCCCTGGTGCTGAGATTGAAGTTATCAAGTCCACGAGAGCCCAGCATCCTCCTCTACCTTGGCCTGGAAAGATTTTGAGGAGAATGAAAAGAGAAAGCACCTTGGTGCCAATGCCTTGCACGGTGCATTTACAAAATGATTTAGATGAGCCTGGGAATTCCCACTGAGATACAAATCACAGCGCTGGGGTCCCACTATGGCCCCACAGCTAAATCTGCCGAAGACCCAGCTCAGATACAAGGGAGACGGCAGAATTTAGAACAGGAGCTCCAAACCCGAATGCCTACGGGGGCCAGGTAGATGGGGAGATGGGCCAGGCTGGCTGAGTGCTGAGAAAAAGAAATGAAGGGTTGAGTCCCATCAGAAGGAGGCCCCACGGAGCTGTGCAGAGCTGGCTGGAGTGGCTACACCACCTGGTTGTTTGTGAGAAGTCTCAAGTCCAGACTTATACAGTTTCTAATTTTTAAACTCTGTGTAAGTTAAACAAGACACATCTGTGGGCCACAGTCTGACAGTCGGCCATCCCCGATCCGCTCGGCACAGAAATCAAACAGCTTTACCTTGGTGAGATTCAGTCCTGTTTCCTCCGAGAGGGATTTATTGGGTAAGCTGAGGGACACATTTTGGAGGTAATTCAAAACAACTCCAGCACTCTGGAAGTTCTTCCTCTCCTCTGTCAAGTTGGTTATGATGGGATGGTAGGCATTGGTGGGTGGCTAAAAGAAATCAGCGACATTTAAAATAAATTATTTAGGAAGGGTGGTGGGTAGAGAGCTCAGTGGTAGAGCACACGCTTAGCATGCACGAGGTCCTGGGTTCAATCCCCAGTACCTTCATTAAAAAGAAAATCTTTAAGAAATCTGAGACCTGCGTTCCTATTAAGAACTAAAGCCGAGATGTTCTACAGAAGTTCAGTGGATCCTCTGGGTCTTGTGCTTCTTACACCGCAATAATAAGAGTAATAGGGCCTACCGTACACCAGACACTCTTGTGGCTGTTTTACATATGCTAACATTTCATCCTTACAACAGCCTCACGAAATAACACACCCGTTTGACAGACGAAACTAAGCATCAAGACGCTTGTGCAGAAATGACTGGTGGAACCGGGATTTGACCCCAAGCAGATGGTTCTAGAGTCTGCTCACTCGCAATTGACATTAAAGTCCTCGTGGAAGAAAAATTGTTTGATCACAAATGCTAATTCCAGAGGGGAATGCTTTCTAAATGAATTCATCCTTTCCTCAAACATCAGGAAAAAATGGCGTAAGGGATGGGGTGGATGTCGCTCAGTGGTAGAGCACATGCTTAGCATGCACGAGGTCCTGGGTTCAATCCCCAGAACCTCCGTTAGTAAACAAACAAGCAAGCAAGCAAGCAAGCAAACCTAATTACCCACTCCACCCCCCAAAAAGGAAGACAATGGCAAAGGAAGAAGTCAAGCATCAAGGCCAGCTCGTCCTCGCTCTGTGCTCACTGTGCCAGGTGCACTGGCAAACAGGCTCAGTGTCCAGGTGTCCCCAGACAGTCTTGACTGCTCCGTGGAGGCACCTGAGGCTACAGGCCCTGGGAAGCAGAGGGACTTCCCTTTAGTCACTCTGAGCATCAGGAATTAGTGCCAAAGTCAGCCTCCCCTCCATGTATATTTCCTCCCAGACACTATCCTGCCAGTGAGGGAGAGCCAGGCTGTCTAGTGCGACTCCCACTCTGCCCGCATACAGTCCAAGCGAAAAATCAGCAACAAGACATCACCAAGATGGGGGACAAAAGATAAATGTGTCGGCTCACCACGGTGTTTGCTGTGGGTGTCATGAAGAGGCTTGGTGGTGTTGAAGACAAGAAGACATGCTTTCCTGGAAAAAATCGATAATGCTTAATTAGGGACTAAAACATGGTCACCAGGTTCACCCCCAGGAAGGCTTGTCCTTGTTCAGAAACCTACTAGCTTCAGACGCAACTAAGCCAGCCTGAGAATGTTCTGAGGAGGAACGTTGCTGGGAAGATCAGGGCTAATAAATTGGCTGGATGGCTAGATGGCATGGATTTTCCCAGGTCCAATTATTTTTCTATGTATAATCTAAATTGCTTTGCAACACCCATCATGCAAGTCATCACAGAAAAAGATGATTTTACACAGGCTTTTTGCTGATTTCAAATAAATAAAGAAGCAGAGGAAATGGATTTCCTTTGCATCTGGACTAGTCGGAGATAAAATACAGAGCTCTGTGAACCATCGGGCTGGGACAGACAGGAGACCTGGCCACCTCCCCTCCCAGCGAGGCGATGCGGGAGTGGACCCCAGTGACATGGGGGGTCTATCTTCCTGAGCCCTTTCCACCCCGAGGACTCTAATTATTCTTTCTATTAAAGACCCTATTTGGTTAAATACGAACAATTACAACAATGAAGACATCTCAGGTCAAAGACTTAGCCGTGATTTGCTGTTTTCTGCCTGTTTCCACCAACGATTCCTAATCTTAGTATTCCCTGGTGAGGACACAGACTTGACTAGACACGCTGCTTCACTGCTGGAAACCCCTCCGGTAGCTTTCGGTGGCCTGAGGAAGTGGCCTCATCACCCCCCTGCTGGTTCCAGAAGTAAATGACCCCGTGGGTGGGGGTCGGGCTGGGTAGCTGGTGAGAGCAGAAAGTGTGACACTGCTGGGCAACCCAGGGCCCCAGACTCTGTTCTCCAAGTCAGAGTGACATTCGCTCCTGGGAGGCCCAGGAGCCATCAAATTACATTTCACTTGTGAGTCCGGCAGAGAAAGTGGAGGACAATGAAACTCTGCCCGCAGCCCTGCTCCTCGCACCGCCGCTCACAGTCACGCCCACGCGAGACTCAGGTGAGAAATGAGCGTCCTGCCGTGTCCTGAGTCAGCCCCGGTTCCTGGGTGGCTCTTGTTGTGTGAGCATCTGGTTGTGCTGAGTGTGTTCCTAGTGTCAAAGAGGCACGCATTCCAGACCTGGGACTCTGAAGATGGCCTTCCACTCCCTCTGCTTCCCTACAAAAGGAGGAGCCCTCCATCCCAGTGCTGGAGGGAAGCCCCGCCAGGGTGGCAGTGGATCGGCACTCCGCCTCTGCGTGACTGAGAGAGAAGGAAGGCCACCCCATCTGGACCGATCTGCCAGAAAACGGCGCCTGCCCGAGCTACCGGGGTCAGGAGAGGGTTCCCTCAGGACAGGGCACCTGCAGCCCCTGCCCACAGCTTCATGTGCACACACATCTTTGTGCAAAGAACAGGGTCTAGCTCCTCCTGTGGATTTCAGCCCCAGTCATCTGTCTGAGCACAGCGGCTGTGAACCGGCTGAGCTGGCTAACAAAGCGAAGGCCCCAGAGTTCCACGGGCAGCCCTACGGGGGCTTCAAGGGCCCCTTCTCCTATGATGCTTTCCATCATGGCCCCGTCTTCAGAACCAAGTCCCCAAGTGGCGTGGGGACCCGATGCATCCAGTTCTGGTTCAGCAAAAGTGAGGGCACGCGACCGCCACCCCCCAACACCAGGATGCAGGAATGTTAGCAGAACACTTCTCCTGAGTCCCCCAGAGACTCGCACAGCATCCTCAAGAAGCATGGAGGGCGAGAGTGAACGGTACAGACGCGATTCAGCAGCAAGGACTTCCTGACACGCTGTACCACTGGGCGGGGGTGGGTACTGACGCGCCACATCCCTGAGCCTGGGCATGTCTTGGTGACGGCGGTTTGCTGGGATGGCCACAAGAACCAGCAGTGGTACAACCTCTTCCTAAGGCTGCTACAACAGCAAGGTATTGCGAAGGCAGGATTTGTTTGAGGCTCTCAGTAACACAAATACAGATGACATCTTGGTCTCAAAGTGACAAATCTCTGACTCTTAGGCAATAAAATGCAATAGGCTGATATCCTTTTTTTCTCCTAAAGAGAGGTATATTTTGTCCTACTGACCAGCCTGGGCCCTTGGACTCTTTAATCAATAAAAATTAATAAGAGGGCAGGTGAGCAATCTAGGCAAAGCCTCCCGATGGCCACTTCTGAGGTGCTGGGAGCAAAGGCAGAGGACTGCACATGGTCCTTGCTCACAGCACCACCGCGGGGGTGGGCAGACCCCTAAGCCACCCCTCCGGCCTGAGCGATCAATCTGCCCTCACCCTCACCCACGGGGCCAGCTCACGGCCTCCCCACCACCCGCCTGGGGAGTGAGCAAGGGAACCTGTTCCTTGTTTTTGCTCCCCGAGGCTGCAGCACGAGTCCCAGTAAAGCCTTGATGTCTCATCTGGCCTCTTGTCAACGTCTATTGATTAAAGAGTCCAAGGACACAGGCCGGTAACACACATTGTGGGTTGTGGCCTCATCTTAGGGGTCATCATTTGCCCCGACTGCTACTGTGCATGTGTGCGGCTAGTTTTAGTCCCTTATGGTTTCTTTGTGTTCTGTTGCTCGAGGAGAGGTCTGTCCAGGTGCCAGCCCTGCAGTAAAGGGTCTCCAGCCCCAGGTCCCAGCCTGTCTCACTACGTCACTTCTGTGAAAAGGAATGAATTCTGTTTTCTGGGTGAAAGATGGAATTGTCAGAGCTTCCATGGACACTGGCTGTTTCACTTGCACAGCAGCTCTTGAACCCAGCAAACCTGATCGCGCTTCAGGGAGCCCCTTTTTCTCTTTGTTTGGGGTGAGGCTGGCCCCACTGCCATTTCAGGGGTGGGTTGTGACCCAGGCTTAAGCCAGTCAGGGTATTCTACACCCCCAGCCACAGCAATTGGTTTGTGGGAAACATACAGGTCAATCTGGGCCAATGAGAGTGATGGTCGGCAGGTAACAGAGGAGAGACATGCTGAGTTTCCTGCCAAGGTTGCTGGAGGGTGGAACCCTGTGGGGAGCCCGTCCTGGCAGCACAAGAAAGCAAAGGAAGGCAGAGTCCAAAACAGGTTTCCTGTGACATCATCTGAGACACGAAAGGTCACATGTTCTATGGTCAATTTATATGGAAAATCCAGAGTAGGTAAGTCCATAGAGACAGAAGGTAAACGAGCGGTTGCCGGGAGCCAGAAGGAGGAGAAGTGGGGGGTGACTGCTCGTGGGTGCCTGGCTTCCTGCTGGGGTGATGGTTGCCCAGTATCATGGACAGAGTGAGGACCACTCGACTGCACGCTATAAAATGGTTATATTCATGGTATATGAGTTTTGCCTCAGATTTTTAAAGGTGACTTCCCAAGTCCCATGGCTCGTCGTGGTTGAGTGAGGATTTAAGCCAGGTCCACCTGTCCCACAGGTCCCCGACCTGAACCACAGCTCTGTGCTGAGCAAGGTGGGGGCGTCCTTGGGGCTCCCCGAGGGCCCATCGCTGAGTCTGGCACGCAGGGCACGTGTGGTAAGCGCCATTTGTGTCATTTGTGGATCACTTGCACTAACGGGCCTGGAATATTTGCTCCCCAAAGCTTTCCATGACCGCCTACCACAGACACCTCGAAACCTCCCCGACGGCCAGCGGGAGAATACTCATCTCCGTGTGTTTCTGGGAAACCGTTATTTAATCCCTCCAACCTAGGGAACAGGGGTTCTAGAAAAACCACTGCCTTTGAGGCTCACCAGGACCCGTCTCAGCCTGCAGTGCTGACGGCTGCATCGGGACGGGGGAGAAGAGAAGCGCCGGGAAGGGGAGGCGGGTGGGAAGGGGACCCCAGGAGCCGAGGTCAGGCCTGCCCACAGACCCCCTCCACTGACCGACGGCGGCCGTGAAGTACATGGCGATCTCATCCGGAGTCAGGGCCCGCTCCCAGATGATGAACTCGTCAAAAGCTCCGTTCTCGTAGCCCTTGGTCTGGTCCTGCTCAGATCCTATGACGAGGTTGACACTGGGCTCCCCGTAGGCGTGAGACACTTTTCCACTTGGGTCTGAGGTGCTCAGGGTCCCGTTGACGTAGACCTTCAGACCCTCCTTGGACTTCCATGTAAACAGCACGTGAGTCCAGTAGGGGCCTGGGAGAGAGCAGAGACGCCTTCTGAGGACGCGGGCCCAGTGCCAGCCCCCCCTCCATGGTTATTTCGGTTGTAAGCACCTTTCCCTCTCTCTTTCCTTTTTCTCTTTCTTTCTTTCATTTTTATTTACTAAGCAACTTTTGTTTTGTTTTTCTGGGGGAAGGAGGTAATTAGGTTTATTTATCATTTTTTTTAATGGAGGCACTGAGGATTGAACCCCCGACCCTATGCATACTAAGCACGTGCTCTACCACTGAGCTGTACCCAGCCCGATATTTCTCTTTCCTATGATGGCTGGGCACTGCTGCCTTTGGCTGAGTCCTAGTATGGGTCATAATATCCACCTGACTTCCCTCAGTCCTTCGCAGCACCAGGAAAGAAATTGCCCCCACCCCCAAATGCCAGAAGCAGTTCCAAGAGACCCTTGGCTATTTTCAATTAAATGAAGTAACAACTAATGGTCATAATTTGTTCAAAAATATTTTTTTAACCCAGCCTCGGCCATCACAGTGCAGGTCAATGAGACCTCTTGGAGGACCCAATTCAGCCCACAGGCCACTGGTATCCATCCACCCCTGCCCCGACCTCGTGCCAACCACCATGGCAGCTCCAGGGGAGGCCAGACCAGTCCTGGCTCCATCAGGACCTTCCATCAAGGAGCCTTTGCGTGACTCATCTCTCCAGCATGAGAACCACATTCACCAACAAAAAGAGAGTCCGCCGGACTTTGGCGGCAGCTTGCCCCACAAATATTTGTGCAAGTGTGTGTCTAGACGCCCTCACGGACTTGCTGCTGGAAGGGGCACTTTGCAGGGTACAGATTACCCGAGCCAGGCGGTCAGCTGAAGTCACCCAGCAGCTACCCCCGCTTCTTGCTCAGGCTTGCCCGGCTTTCTAACTGTGAGTCCCCAGAGCGCCCCTGGATCCTAGGCAGGCCCAAAGCATCGCTTGCCCTTGAGCGTGGAAGCAAGAACAACAAGTCCCTTCCATGAACAAACAGGGCCACACTGCCCTTCTTAGTCTCTAGTCTGGCCTGGGCCCCCTCGCCACGCTACCTACAACACTCTGAGTCCCCGGGCCCCCTCTCCGCTCCCGCTCCAGACCTCAGCCTCCCCCAGCTGCCTGCCCTGCACCTCTGCCTCACGCCCGGCCGGCCACCCACGACACTGCACCCCGGAGAAAATCAGAGTCTTCAGACAGAACCACGCTGCCCTGCCCGCACCCTCCCACCTGGCCCAGAGCATCCTCCCGAACCCCAGGCCCCCACTGCCCAGTGCCCACACGCCCCTCCTCCTGCTCCCCTTTCTCCCCCAGTCGTCACCCTCTTTTCCAAAAGCTTCTTTGCATCATCTTCTAAACACTTCCAAGTCTGTACCACCGAAACGAAGGAGGCAGGGAGGAGGAGGAAAGGAAAGATGTAGCGGTGGGTGGGGGATGTGCAGGAAGAGGCAGAGAAACAGACACCACTGTGCTGAGCCCTTTGCAGGCAGCATTCCATGTAATTTCCCCCAAACTGGAAGCTAAGTACCATTCATGTCTTCACTGTCCGGAAACCGAGGCTCAGTGCATTAAGCAACATGATGCACAGACACAGTCGGGAGTCAGAGGGAACCCAGGCACCCAGCTGCAGGACCCAGGCCCTTAACCCGCCACGGGCATCTCAGCAAAGGACGCCGTCTTACCCTGCTCAGTTTCCCAAATAGCCCCTTAGAGGGAGGGCTCATGTGCCCGGAGGCCAAAGGAAGAGCGCGCTGCCCCTGGGGTCCATCCCCTCCCTCGTGGGCAGTCCCGCCCCCTCCTCCTCCCGCCTCCCCGCACCCCTCTGTCCGCGGGCGCCCTTACCTGGGGGGCTGAAGGTGGCCGCCCACGTCATGGAGTTCTCCCGCGCGTACAGCTCCACCGAGCCCTTGCCGCCGCTGGAGCAGACTTTGAACCCGTTGGAAATGACCTGGCCCCCGTACGCAGAGGGGGTTGGTCTGGACTGTTCTCCTTGGGTCTTCCAGAAAAAAGAGAACGTGACCCCTGAGGACAGGAAAGGCGATGGGTCAGTGATCACGAAAAGCGGAGGGGATTTAACCTCGCAGAAGCAGATGGTTCTCCTGGTTCTTTGAAAAGGCATTTTTTTTCCCCTCATTCTAGGGACAATGTATGTTCAATTCATAAAGTACAGGCAACATCACCAGGTGATATTTATCAAGAGCCCGCTAAGTACCAGACACTTTTCTGAGAGTTTTAACTATTACAGACCCTGGTTTTCATCCCCATTATGCAGATGAAGACACTGAGGCCGGTTTGCCCAAGTCACTGAACTAGAGATGGATTCCCTTCAGATTCAAACCCACTCTGACCCCACAGACATCGTCTGTTGAGGCAGCTCCTCCAGAAACCTATTTGACCAGTTTACAAGGCACGTGTTTTAAACTTGCTACATCATAAACCCCCTCCAATGCCCATACCTACACCTTCACATCGCCATTGTTCTTATCTGCACAGCGTTACCTTCTAAGCAGGAACTCTAATCTTTTTTTTTAAACAGCACCCCTCCCAGAGCGGGGTCTTATAGTTTCCTTCAACTCTTTCTTTTGCAAACAGCACTGGAAGCTAAGCCTTCCTGCACACGTCAGACGACATGCCTTCAGGATTAACTCCCAGTAGTAGGGAGTCTCTAGTCCAAGGGGAGACCCAGTCTGAAAGGTTTTGATACCGATGGTTGTCCGTTTCCAACACAGTGGGGCTCACTGGCCCTGGCAGCCAAGGTCCCTGTCAAGACAGCCAGTCTGCAGGCGCTGGCGTCCTGGGCCCGGGCCCCACGCTCCACGTGGACTGAATGGTCTCCACTCAAATGGGAGCAGGAATGAGCTGGCTCGTTGGTTGGTGTCTCTCCATCACCAGAAGCAGGTGGAGCGAGAGGAGCAAGTCCAGCTTATGACGGTGAAGACCTGGCCCCACGATCACCTTGCAAGCCTGGGGGCGGGTGCCCCCACCGCCGCCCAGCGAGGGGTAGAGCCTGACCCCGCTAGAGGCTCCAGACATCGCCTTTGGAGCCCTGAGTGTTTCGCTCTGCTTCTCCACCGCCGGTAACATTTCTCCCTTCTTTGCGTGAGAGTAACTCTGCATATGTGTGTGTACGTGTGCGCGCGCACCAGCAGCCTGCCTGGCCCTGGTACGTGAAAGCCGGAGCTAGGTCAGGCTGCCCCCGCACCCCCGACAGCTTGGCCCAGGCTCTGGGCGGGGAGACCGTCAGTGATGCCCAGAGCTGAGCAAAGCGGGTGGGAGGGAAACATGGAAGGCCCTTTGCCCAGGACCCTCTTTATATAAATGGCTCCAAAGTGAGACTTCAGCCCTTACCTTCAAATGAGATTATGGACACAGGCTGAGTCACTGAGTTCAGAGAAGACATCTGTCATCACGTATAAACTTCTGTCCCATTACCAGCCGTCCTGGCTGTAACGCCTTCTGAGTGGACAGATGTGTTACAAGTTGTTCAAATGTCATGTGACAATCACATTGCATGATGCCTTTGTGAGTCCAAAGCCCTGGTATGATTCGTGTAAACATGGCAGGATTTTACAAGCCTGGTTTGGCGTTTCTTTATTTTTTTGCCTTTTTTTAATTGAAGTGTAGTTGGTTGACAGTGTTGTGTTAGTTTCTGGTGTACAGCACAGTGATTCAGTTATATATATACATATATATATATTCCTTTTCATATTCTTTTTCATTATAGGCTATTACAAGATACTGGAATAGTTCCCTGTGCTCTGCAGTAGGACCGTGTTGTTTATCTATTTTATAGTTAGTAGTGTATATCTGTTAATCCCAAACTCCTAATTTATCCCCCACCCCCTTCCCCCTTTGGTAACCATAAGTTTGTTTTCTATGTCTATATGTCTGTTTGTTTTGTAAATAAGCTCATTTGTGTCATTTCTTTAGATTCCACATATGAGTGATGTGGCGTTTTTTTTCTCTTTCTGGCTTACTTCACTTATGAAGTATGAAAATCTGTATTTTTTAATGTTAAGAGAAATCTCAAAAAAAACGGATGGGGCCTAGAGAGACCCCAGAGGAGAACTCCAGGTCGTGAGGAGTGTGTTCTTAGGGTCAGCGAGAAAAGCAGGAAGTCCTCAAAAGTGCCCTGTGATGTGGGTCACCCCAGCAGAAGGATGGGACTTTGGAGTTTGCCCAGGGGTCAGCTGGCCTGTCCTGGACACTCTGTCCCCAGTGCACCCCCTGAAGGCGGTGGGTGGCGGGACCCACGGGCCGGGCATCCCGCCACCTCTGTCCGCCTTGCCCTGCGGCGGCTCAGATTCCAGAAGAACCCCCCCCCACCTCCTGCCGCACCCCTCCGCTCAGAAACAACCAATTTCACAGAGAAACGAACACAGCGCATTGTGAAACTTTTGTTATGAAACGAATTCCCAGCGGGATTCACAAAAGTCCATTCTTCCCCAAACACTTCGCCGCATTTAAAAATTCCTTTAAGTCAGCCCTGTCTTGGCCAAATGTCTTTCAGTGCAGGGAAAAAAAGACAAAACATTCAATTTGGTGTTAGGTAAGGGAAGATGGAAAGAAACGATGGTTATTCTAAGGCAAGCTTTCCATTTCTGTTAATCCAGCCTGGAGGAGAGTCATTTCTGTCTGAGGAACAGCTGGTATTTAAATATCAATCTGCGTCTTTGCAGAGTCCTGAAAGGCTCACAGTGAGCCTGCTAATATTCGCGTTTTCAGGAACCTTGCTTCCCGCACTTGGGACTGTCAGTACAAAGAAGAAAAAATCTGAAGGAGAAATAAGCGCAGTATTGACAAACTGATTCAGTGCTTTTTTTCTTCTTAGGAGCACTGAATCCTAACCCATCCGAAAAATAAAGTGAGGAAAGCTCTTTCTCAATAAGACAAAACAAAGAAAAGAAAAAGTACCCAGCTGACACAAGAAAAGATGGATAAATTTGAGTGCATAAATATTATAACATTCTGCAAGGCAAAGCATGTATCATGACAAAGTCAAAAGACAAATGGCAGCCCAGGAAAAAAAATGTTTGTAATACATTTAACAGACCAGAAATGAAATTTCCTTACTGTATAAAGAATACCTTATAAAGAAAATTAAGTGGAGAAAACGAATTCAAAGAGATACACAGACCCCAGTGTTCAGAGCAGCACTATTTACAACAGCCAAGACATGGAAACAGCCTAAGTGTCCATCCACAGACGACTGGATAAAGATGTGGTGTATGTACACAATGGAATACTACTCAGCCATAAAAAAGAATGAAATAATACCATTTGCAGCCACATGGATGGACCTGGAGATCATCATTCTAAATGAAATAAGTCAGACAGAGAAAGACAAACATCATGGTATCACTTACATGTGGAATCTAAATTATGACACAAATTGAACTGATTTACAAAACAGAAACAGATTCATAGACATAGAAAGCAAACTTGTTGTGGTTACCAAAGGGGAAAAGGGAGGGGGAGGGATAAATTAGGAGTTTGGGATCAGCGATACAAACTACTATATACAGAATAGATAAACAACAAGGTCCTACTGTATAATATGAGGAACTATATTAAATATCCTGTAATAAACCACAATGGAAAAGAATATGAAAGATAATATATATATATGTATGTATAACCAAAGCACTTCACTGTACACCAGAAACTAACACATTGTAAATCAACTGCACTTCAATAAAAAAAATTTTTTTTAAAGAACGTCCTGGAGTGGGAAGCTCAGGACATTGATGTCACTTCCAGGCTGAGACCCGTCTTGGACAACGCTTGTCTCAGTCCACTCGGGCTGCTGTAACAAGCATCGCAGCCTGGGCGTCTTAAACAACGGTCGTTTCCAACAGTTCTGGAAGCTGAGAGTCTGCGACCGGGTTGCCAGCACGTTGGGTTCTTGGCGAAAGCTCTCTTCCTGGTTTTGTCTTCACATGGCCTTCCTTACTCCATGCACACAGAGAGCCCACGTTCCCGCCTTCTCTTAGAAGGGCGTTAATCTCGTCCCCCACTATGACCTCATGTAGCCCTAATCCCTCCAAATATGGTCACAGCAGGGATAAGGCTGCAGTGTATGAATTAGGGAGCAGACACAGACATCCAGGCCACAGCAACAGGGTCATTGATACATTCAGTTATTCATTCAACAAACATTTTTTAGCAGCTCATACACATCAGACACTATGAGCAAGGGTCTGAAGACAGAAGTGGCCAGGAAGTGGAAAGACAGACATAAACGGCGGGCGTCCCCACGGTGACAGCTGCGGTAAGCATAAGAGGAGACACTGGAACTGAGCCGTCGAGGTCTACACGGGGGGTACACGAGGTGCTGGGACGTTCCAGGAAGGGCCCCTTCCTACTCTGGGTTTCCCCACGTGTGTGTGTGCCGCTCATGGGAGCTGGAGAGCCAGCTCGGTATTGAAAGAACGCAGTGTTTCCCGAGGTTGACGTTCAAATAGCATTTTTCTCTCAAAAGATCCTCAAAAGCTTCCCTGCATCCGCACCCAGTGCCGTGAGAAACCTTCCTCAGGAGGCGCCGTTTGCCAGAAGGCAAGCCCCACAGGCAGTTCAGAGAAACAAAGGAAGGTGGACGGGCAGGTGGAGAGACCCTCCAGGCCCAGCAGGATGTGACGGGCTTGGAGCGAGCGCCCGGGCGGACAAGGAGGCCTCCAGGGTCTAGCGGAGAGCCTGGAGAGCGAGCAGCCAGACTGCTCAGACGCTTCGTCCTGTTTTGAAAGGCTCTAACCTCAACCCTGTCTCCTAAAACATTCCTTAAAAAAAAAAAACAGCCGAAAATATGAACAGAGACCACAAGAGAATTTGAAAACAACAAGTAAGAAAACAGCTGACCTGTGGGACCGGGCGTGGGAGAGCTTCCCTCTTTATCTAAGTGTTGGTTCCGTTGTAAGAATAATGGGTTATACGTCTGTGCCCACCCGCACCTCCAGAAAGAAATGCGGGGGAGGCGAGGCCAGGGTACCCGAAAAGGCCGCGGTTCCTGCATTTTAGTCGCTCAC